TCAAACGATCGAATTCCCGGAAAACCGGGATAGTTCGTACGGGAAACAAAATTACAATCCCGGAAAAGCGGGTTACTTTGGTGAAAGGGTTAAACAAATTTAGCTGTTTGTAAAAACTATTGTTGATTCAACTTTATAAGCCCCGGCGCTGTAAAAGCAATCGCCGTCTTCTCTGGGGTCGTGTTCTATGCAGAATCCCCACTTGTCCAGGCGTCTTCTAAACTCCTCCATTCCCTTTTCCCCTAACCATAGCTTCCTTGAGCTCATATTAAGCCCTCCTTATACAGCAGTTACGAAAAAAAAACTCAAGTTGGAATTTGTAATGATGATTTGTGCGTGTGCCAAACTCAAGCCTACATTTCCGGACTCTTCTTGACGTGAGTAAAAAAGTGAAAACCACTTCTGGCAGCCCCAAATAACTCACCCATATTATAATAAAGGAAAAGCGATACTTCGTGTTTATCAACAAACTCATTCTGATGATGATACACATTATAACTTGTATTAATTATTTTTATCTCGATTTTTTTTGTGATGGTTTACTCGAAAATTTATACCACTTAAACCATCACTGCACACCCAACGTAGCAACTGTTTATATTTAATATTTATTTATATATCTTTTTATGAAATCTAGAATAACTTGTAAATATAAACAATGTGATTTGTTATATTCATTTTTATTTGAAGTGTGTGAAAAAATTGAATTGAATTGAATTGATCTACCTAGCAAGAGACATATCGGAGTTCCCTCGTATGGAGGTTACGAACCCAGACACCATTTGATTAAATGTTTCCAAGCTTTTATAGGCTTTAAACTGCTGTTTAGTGTAGTAGCTGGTCTCCAAAACTAGGTAACTCAGTAAATCTGTGGCCTCGATTGGTGCCAAACAATTTGGGTCAAACTGATCGTTCAAGATAAGGAGGAGAAAATATTAAATCAAAATGTGGCGAGAACAAGAAAGGTACACACAAGATGCACCACATTTTGACATCTTCTATAAGAGTACAGACGCACAGAAAAATGGAATCTATTTCTTTTATTCATAGTTAAGCAAAAAAATTGATTTTTTAACGTTTTTGTGTTAAACATGGAGCACATGCTAAACGTACAAAATGACTGTTATGATCATTTGTGCATCTGTTCTTTACTAATACACAACTCTTGACCAATCAAAGTGAGCATAGTATCCGAACTATTATGTAATATTTATTTAAAATATAAATACACCTATTTCAAATCGTTCACATATATAATGCTGGATAGGTAATAAGTAAAAGCACACCAAAAAGAACAATGGATTTAATTAACGTTTTTTTGAAACACATGTAGGTGTATATCCATAAAACATATTGTGTCTAACATGAAAGAAATTATGGGATGTCTGCAAATATTGAAGGTGTATAATCTGATTCTAAAGCTGTTGAATACACAAATATTTAAACCAATGAAATCACTTTTTTACATCGGCCTTACCAGAACTATCGACAAGTTTTGCAGAACTTTTGTTGGGCAATTGTGACCGTATCCGATGATGGCTGATGATCAACATAGAATGGTGGGAACATTTCATCCTAAAGGAAAGTAAAAAAAAAAACATGACTTGATATGTCAAAAACAATTACAAAGCACTACAAAGTTGTGAATTTACCTTCAAAATTTTAAGGTGTAAATGTACTGCACATTGCTCATAGAAAAACTGTTGTGGACCACACTCTGGACAGCGTATCGTGGCTGGTTGTACAGTGTTACATTCAGTACATGTAGTTCTGGTTAAGCAGCATTCTTCCATAAAAGCATCAACCATTGATTGCCTTATTTTCTCCCAGTTGTTAAAAGCAAAAACTTGTCTTCTTTGATGTAGAGAAAGTTCACATGTTGGCTCATCGAGCAACACTTCGCTAGTAGTAAAGCATGTTGTTTTTGTTTCTGATTTTGGTCTTTTTTCGGTACTTTTTTTCATGGAGTTAACGGGCACATACACACAGCGTTTACTACTTCGACTGATGAATGTGGTTTTTAATTTCACAGCTCACAAGTTCTTCATTAATAGATTGATTTTAGTTATATTTTGACAATGTTGCTTTTAGAAAATGGCTACTAGCAACAAAGTGGCGTCAAGTTGCAAGCAACCAGAAAGCCAATCTTATCAGTGATTGGCAAAAATAAAACAATTGAACCATGTTCCACTTCAGCTGGTTTGGACTACAGACTAAAGAGGTCCTGACCCATAGATAAAAATTTAGTTGTTTGGATCAAACCCAGTTTAGATCATGCGAAGACTGTGAAATAAGTATTTACATAGTTACAAATGGCATTGCAGAGCTCATTTAGGAAGTTCACTTGTGCTCCCTCTGCTGACCCTGTGAATTAAGTCATTCAGGGAGTCCTTGCATTGTTTAATTAGATAAGAGCGGGGCAATGTTTTACCTTCTGGTGCCATTGATAGTTGTGATATGCGGCATCAGTGATACAAAATTGACCTTGTATTTGAAGGATTTTCTTTAGTTTTTCTTATTCCTCTATAGGAATACAAAAATGATGAATTTTATTTCTATAGCGTCTATAACATTAATTGATATAGGCGCTTTACAAAATAAAAAAAAAAAAAAAAAAAGAAAACGATTTACAATAGAATGCATGTATAATAGAGAAAAGATATAATGATAACTAATAATCATAACTAATCTAAAAATATAATAATACTATATAAAATCTATTTAATAAATTCTAAACATCTACTTTACTGTGAAATAAAACAAGGAATATTTATTTAAGTATATGCTTTCTGATAAAGTGTTTTTAATTGTTTCTTAAACGAACCTAATGAGGTTGAATTTCTCAGTGATAATGGTAGTGTTCCACAAGTTTGGACCTGCCACTGAAAATCTACGGTCACAATGTCTTTAAACCCTTACTTTTAATTTTCTGCCTCTTATTTAATAGTGTGCTCAAAATTAATTTTAGTACGATAGTGAAACTATTTATGGAGTTGTTCTCAGGACATTAGTTTGAGCGCACGGTACTTCAGATGGATGTCAGTAAATTAACAAATAATACATAGGAATCTCGAGGATATCAGGAAATACTATTTTCAATTTTTTTCATTAAAATCAGATCTACAAAAACCATCAAACTCTTCTTTTATGTTCATTTAATAGTATGACAAGCATAATTTGTCACCGACTTTTATGACCAACTGACTTTTATGTCAGTTATTGGCTCTTAAAAGAGCCGTTGTTTTAGTTTTTTTTAAATACTACTCAGTAGCCTGATGCTCGGCCTTCCCGTTCAATGACTTTAGGCAGGACTTTCTTTTTTTTTCTACCGTTGCCATTTTTCTAAGGCCACTGTCTTCCAAAATTGCTGGATGCCTGACAGGAGCTCTTCCTTGTTCTTTGGCTCGATATCATTCCGAAGAAAGTGCTTCATTTCATGCCATACCATTTCTATTGGGTTTAGGCCAGGGCTTTCAGCAGAAGTACACCAGTAATTTATTTCGTTATCCGCTATGAATTTCTTCGCTAATTTGCCTAAAAACACTTAAGAGAAACCCAATTAGATAAATTGATTATTAAAATCCGAGATATAGGATCAGTGTATACCATAGTCAACATTCTCTTACTTTTTTGTTTGCGCTCATTATCCTGTTGAAATCGATGACCATCAAGAAATCGATCTTTAATGAATGGCAGTTGGCTGCTACGGAGAATGTTCTCTGTGAAGGAGGCCTTTTCGATAATGCAAGTGAAAATAAGGATGGGCGAAGCTCCTTGCTTAGAAATGGCTGCCCAAACATGCACCTTATAAGGGTGTTTCATCTTAAGTTTCAGTTTGGTAGGCATGGTTTTTTTTTACGGAAACAAACTTTTGCATGCTTTTCAAGCCAAATGCTTGATTCATCTGTAAAAATCACATCTTCAAACGTTTCATTATCTTGCTTGCACTTTTGGCAACTGGAAACGTTTGATATAATTTGCCTTTCTCCCTACCTGGCAATATTTCAACCCACTCTTCACCCAACCAAGTTTAAACCAGACTTTTTTTTATGGCGGACTGGGATGGAGAAATATTAAAGGTGTCCTTTAGTAATCATTGTAGTCCTATGGAGGAAAAAAAACTTTAAATCTCAGGTTTCATGATAAATAAAGAACAAATACATTTCATTTACTAACCTGCTGCTGTAAACTCATCTTTTTGTCAATGAAGTCGTAATATACAGTACCGGAACTGAGTAAAGTACCATCCACTGGCGAGTACTCGTCCCGACTAGTTAATTGCGAGCAGCGAGTGAAAATAAGGCTTAATGAGTTTCTCCAAAACAATGACACTCGCTTTGACTTGTTGCTCGCCACTCACAAGTCTTACAAGTGTAGTATTAAATCAATATGCCATACGAGACATCGAAATAGCAAACTGTATCGACATGTGTTTGCTACAAAACTAGTTTGGGTTGATTTCACTTGAGCGGCAGTTATCTTTCATGATAAAATTTCTAGACCAGTGCCGATTGTGTATTACGTACATGTTGAAGGAGGGAAAAGTGTATTTATTCGAGTCTATCTAGCTTATAAGAAGTGCTTGATATAGCTAAGCATATAGAACATCGGAGCTTTAACAACACTGGTCTGGTTTAAAAAGGATTAGTAACTTCTTAATATTGATTTTATACTGTAAGAAAGAAGACAAAAGCAAACCTAGCGTGCCCGCTGCATGCACATATGAGACCAACTTATGTTAATGATTTGTGATTGTTTTGATTATTGGCTGCAGCCACGCCGGGTAAAGATTCATTCCTTTTAATGACGTCAAAGAAGCAAAAAGAAGTTAAGAAACAGGAACCAGATTGATTTGGATTGTGAATACGTTTTATTCAAACTATCATTAATTTTTGATGTCGTCAAAGGAATTGCTAAACTGGTTCAATCCGGTTTGAACTAGTTCAAGCCGGTTATGACTTGTAAAATGCAAATTAAGTCATATTTAATTGAAATCACACTACTGGCTATTTGTCAAAAAAATTCTTATATACTTAGCCATATATTGCATGGAGTAACACTTCAGCTTTGAATACTAAAGCTGATTTATACGGTTTTTCTGTTTCCTTTGCAAACATTTATCAATCCTTCTAATTAATTTTTTCCAAACCTGGTCGCCACTTTGTTGACTTTCGTTGGCATAAAACCTAAATACTATTTTCTAAATTTTGTCTGGTCTAATAGGATCCAACGCTTGCTTTGCTTGCGTCCCCATACAGTTTCTATTGACGCGTTCATGTTTGTCAAAGAAATGTTTCATTAACAATGTGGCAAAATGTCCCTAAGAGGACACTTTATCTTTGAGGGACTCGTACAGTTTGCATTCTTCATCTGGTAATGGTCTCGATGGTACTGGAACTAGGGATGTGGCTGGCAATGGCGTTGGAGTGGAGTCTGCTGACGATACGTAGCTGTTTGTGATGGTTTCTTTGTCGGCATTCTCTAGCTGGTTGAGTCTCTTCAGTATTTGGACTTGGTTCTGCAGTATTTGTTGTAGTAATATCTGTTGTGTCATCATGGATTGTTGTCAAGGCCAAGCCAAAGCATTCCTACAAGATCCACGTGTGGACATGGCGTCACTAAGATTGTTCTGTTCACTGGCATTAGTTCGCTGAATTCTTCACCAACACCATACTAGAACACCACCTGAAATCCTTCATCGGTTAGACTATACCACAGTGGACATCGATTCATGCAGGCCAACGATCCCAAGCATACCAGCAACTTGGCAAAAGAGTACTACACTGTATCCGTATTAAATATAAACAAACATCATGTGGTTCACATTTCGGTTAATTTTAGGGGGTTCATTGCATCTCTGTTGAAGAAAAAGTAATACTTTTCATATAAGTGAAGTCTATTCTACATATAGAATAGTTTTATGACATGTAAAATGTGTTTCTACAGAGCAAAAGTCGATATTGAACCGATCCAAAGCAACACGCATTGCTAGAAAAAGCGTCTGTAGATCGGACAGAACCAATGGATGACCTTGGCTAGCTTAATCACGCAAGTTGATACCGGATTTATACTTCTTTTAATGTTGAGCCACAGTAATTCAGTGGACAGCAATACCCTCTTCCCATCTTCCTATTTTACTATCAGGAGTAAGTTTTTGCCAAGCTGACAAATAAAATTTTAGCCTGCCAGCAACTTTACATTCTCTTACCTCTTTAAGGGTATTAGTTAGGCTGTTTTTGTTTAGTTCTTTTGAGCATTCCTCTTTTCCCCCACTCTCTTGTTGGAGAAAGGGCGATATTATTTTTTGTTTATTTATGCCATCAATAACCTTAGATAGGAATGTTAGGTTAGAAACTGGACGGAAGTTAGAGATAATCTCATGGTCTAGATGAGGTTTCTTTAATAAAAGTGTGACCACCGCCTTCTTCAGGCACAAGGGAACACAAGACATCTCCAGAGATAAATTAACAATGGAGGCAATTAAAGGCAATATATGTCTTGTACAAGTTTAATCATCTATTTCAATTTTTCTTGTAGATATTTGTGGATCTTTTTTAAGACCTAGATCTTACAAATGCATTTATGGTCACCATCTGGGTGAATGGTTGCTGGAAGACTTTGAATGTGCCATCAAGGTACCAGCATTTTGATTTTGGGAGGAGCTGAAATTGTTGGTCGGCTGTCTACATTGTTCTTTAAAAAGGCTTTCAAATCTGTTTTGTTTCGCAATGACACTAAAATACAACGTATCTTCAGTGTGAGAAATTACAAATATAATTGTTTGATGATTAAAAGCTGCTTAGCGAAGCATAGTAAGAAAGTGATTGTACTGTATTACGAAGGAATGCATCTGTATATATCGTAAGAATATCTATAGTAATATTTGTGGTTTGCTTAGCAATTTTGTTTTGTGTGTTCTTGCTGCTGTTCTTTGTCTCTGTACGCGATTTGGGGCCAATCCAATAATTTAGCCTTTTTTCTGGGCCTACCAATATAAATAATAAATGTTTAAATAATACAATGTCTTGAATGTATCGGACAAATGGACCATGAAACCAAAGGAATCCAGGCGTTCCAAAAGAATGGTTTAAGAGCAGCCCAAGAAATCTTCAAATGTTCAAGTGTCAATGTATTTAGTTTATGCAACTAATTGGGGAAACTGAAATTAAACTGAAATTACACTGAAATAAGGAAATAATCAAAGAAACATAAAGTTGCAAGGATGCAAACCAAGTTGGCTATACTTTTCCTCTAGATTTTGAAGGGGGTCTTTGTTTTAGGGTCTTCAAAATTCGGTCTTGGTTCAGTAACTTCGTCAATGTGGGCCATTGTCTTTAGTTGATTTGATTTCATTGTCGAATAGAAAGAAAAGAGGGAATGCAATTGGTTCGGGAGACATCTGTCAATGTACACTTTCAGAATATTTTTAATAGTAAAATGGCGCCAGTTTAAAAAATGTCATTCAGCAAATTGTAAAGAAAGAAAACATAACATTGTTTTATATATTAATCTATTCTATAGTCGATCTATTCCACGTTGTTTATTTCGTGGCGATGTTGATGGAAACACTTTTTTCAACAATTACTAGATTAACACCTGTATCAATAACATTTCTTGTCACCTAAAATGAGCTCAGGCTCATTTTTTTTTAAACACCTAGCCTCTTCATGACGGATGATAATAGGCTAGAATTAGGTTCTGGATGGAAGGCAAAGCAAAGAGGTCAACTTTGTGGTTAAAAGCTGGTGATGCCTCCCTTTAGAAAGTTGACCAACATAAACGTTCTTAACCCCATATTGGTCATGTAATAAACGGAATAGGTCCTCAATACCAGACCCCCCAAGACCAGGAGTAAGATTTGCAGGAGTTAGGACGTTTGTTCCAATTTGTAGGATAACAATGTGGGGACAAAAAGACTCTACCACATGTAGATCATATTTCACAAGCGTTTTAAGAGTTTTGCTCCCAATGCTGTACCACCTTAAAACTTCATTATCCTCGCAGTGAAAATCAAGGCTAAGGTCGGAATTACGTCTTGAGGGAGTTGTGCAGAAATGACCCAGGATAAGAATGCACTGTTTAGCCATAACTAACATGGTCAGGGTGTAAAAGTAAAATGAACTTGAATTTTCACAGTGATCTTGCTCGAGAATGATGAGAATGATAGGAAAGAGGTGCGTGGTACTTAGACGTGTCTTCAGTACTGCAATAATAACTTATAAAATTATATCTAGAAAAATGATAAAAGTATTCTTAGCAACTTATGTTGCATCATTTGCAACTTACACATGAGCAGAATACGTAAATTTGCAGCAAATTTAATGGAAATTAAGAATCTGTGTGGTAAGCTCTCAAACATGGGTACTTGCACAGAGAGACACCACACTGTGCACACTTGAATTTTATCTCAACTGGATAGTCTTTTGGAGTCTTCTTTGGCACTGTCTTGCAATAAACACATTGCTTCTTTCGGCCTTCAACTGACGCTGTGGCGTGATTGATCTCGGACATTAGCTACCAAAGGCGAGTATCCATTGATGAGTTGCTTGGCTAGATCAAGACTGAAATCTTGCTGTGGTTGCTTATTCCCGCTGTTAATTCGCTCTAGAACGTAGGCATTGGTGGCACACTAATTAAACACAAGCCAGAAAATATATCTGTACCACTTTCTTGACTACCTGCCCACATAATAGTACACACGAAGCTGATCTGCATAATCCATGCCACCCATGTTCGCTGTGTACACGTCAGATACTCGCGGCTTTGGAATATCAAAGTTTCTACCCTTTTTCTTATGTTGGACGGTGCGTGATGGCTCTTGTGGGGAAACATTAGTAGATAAAAAAGCAACATCTCWGTTGTCATGCCATTTTCCCTTTTTTGACCTGAACAAGCTCCCCAAGTTGGCTTAGCTTGTTGATAGCACATGCCGGCAGACCTTAACGATTACAATGAATCATAGAACGAGGATAGGTGTTCTGCGCTTCTAAATGTTCTAGAAGTCGACAACCTGAGAATAAATTGTCAAAATAAACATGCTGTTTCCTATTAAGGAATGGCTTGACCATATTCATCACAACATTATAGGCAAGTCCATGTGTTTTCTTCATGAAATCGTCCCCAACGTAAACACTGTAACGACATGGCACAGAATGCCTATTGTTTTAGGGACATGTACTTACAGTTCAGATTCTCACGTACATTTCATTGGGTGGGCATAAATTTGAATAATAATAGAATTCCTCAAGTTCTGATTGGTGAATGCATCTGAGCAAAGCGGGGAGCGGAAGCTGCGAAGCGTACCCCTCCAACAAAGTGTGAGACTGACAAGCATCTCTATTGTCTTTATAATCCGTGTTTGACAAGTGATCTCCGCTCATGTAAACAAACTAATATCTAGTCTAGGAATTTAGTTTACAAATTGAAACTCACGGCTCTTTTGCAAGCTCACCGACAAATAAAACTCAATACAGTAACTCATATGCTAGTTTAAAGGAAGGGTTTAAAACCTAAAGCGGGGTAAACTCTGTTTTCTCTCGTCATTTATTTTAAAAAAAATTTTGCTATCAAAGACCGTTTAGTGAAAATAAAAAACTGTTTGAGTACAACGGTTATAAACAGAAAGTTTCATGTACTTCTTGTTACCGGCAAATTTTTATTCCTGTTCTCAATCCAAAGCTTTTCTTTTACAAATTAAAAGTCTAGGAGATGGTTACGCAGTTATCCTTTATAGAGCTGCTGATCTTCACCTTTCTTGAATGAGCGATATGAAAAGCTATAAGTAGATTTGATAACATATATGGCATATGAGTCATGACAATTACTCATTTGGTGGCTCCTAAAAGAGCTGTTGTTTGTTTAAAAAAAAATTAGTTTGTTTTTACTTCACATAAACTCCCGTAGTGAGTCGCCTCGTAAGGCGTTTTGCCTCACGAGGCCTGGAGCAAAACTCAAATCCCTCTTAAGTTTGTGTGATATCTCACAACTAGACTGTCCAGCTTCTTTAACGCTTGCCTTCTTCTCAAGTGGTGGCGTTTTTGGTACGTTGTTATCTGACATGTATTTGTGAACTAAGTACGGAGCATTCAGTGTTTTCCGTTCCTTACACGCGACACCCTAGCATCAAAAACCCTGATTTGAGTCTGCAGTACCTTCCTAATTCTTGAAGAGATGACTGCTTCAGGACATATCCAAACTGGCGGAGACTGGTATTCAAGGCCTTGAAAAGGGTTATTGTGCTTCTGTTTGCACTCCACTGCCACAATGCTTCGCCATTGATTTGAAGGGAAAACGTTAAGTCTTCACTACCCATACGTGGAGGTTTTAGGTGTAAAAGGAAAGGATGCACTGGTTTAACAGGAGGTTATACGAGGTCTGAAAAGAGCTTCCTGTCATTTTCAGCAACATAGCAATCCATTTTTTTTTTCGAAAACCGATAAAATCTCTCTAGATAGGAAAATGTTCAGTACGCGACAAAAGTCAAAGTTTAAATGAACTAGGAGGTTTGTCCAATGAAAAAAAAAAAAAAACACAAGACAGTGTTTATTCATTCAATTTGGAGACAAAAGAGGTGTATGTTTTTTGATGCTTCTAAGAGTCCCTATAAGAAGATACAAAATTACTAGTTACTAGTCTACTTGAGCCATTTTTAGTCAACTCTCTTGTAATTTTACTCTGTAAACGAGTCACAGTCAAGTGAACATTATTTGAACCGCCCGCCAAAACAATGGAAATGTCCCAGATGTGTCTGCCTATTCTGTGCCATGGAGTCTGCTGCCATCCACACTCTTATGCCATACTTCGTGGGCTTTGCAGGCATATACTGAAGAAAAGATAGCCTTCCTTTATAAGCTATCATTCCTTCATTTACTGCAATGTTCTTAGTTGGGGAATAACCTTGTTGAATGTTGTTTAGAATAGCAGTTAAAATCGGTCGTACAATGTAAAGACGATTGTAGCCAGGTTCACCTCGTGCAGGTTCCTTCGTTTGGTCTGCGAAGTGTATAAATTGTGTGATTTCATTGAATCTGTTTCTTGCCATTACTTCTTTCACAGCTTCATTACCCAAAAACGATCATTCGACCAGTAGTCTGCAACTTTTGGGAGCTTATTTACTCCCATAACGATGCACAAACCAAAGTACGCTTTGAGTTCGTTTTTTGTGACTTCTTTCCACTTAGCCAAACGGTTGGCACAATTTGACGACTTTTGTCTGGTATATCTGTTGATTTCTTCAACGGTATGGTCGAATATCTTCTCTAAATTTTTCAGAAAGGAACTAAATTGAATTGGAGTTATTTGGGATGGCAATCTGCATTCCTGAAGGAACAGAGAATTCGGGAATCATCAAGTCCGTTTAGGTTTTGTGTCCATTATTCTTCATCTTCATCATCGCTATCGCTTCCTTCTTCCGCCTCACTGTCCGAAGCCTCATTTGCCACTTTGTAGAAG